CTTCTAATTTTTCACTATTAAAATTGCAGGGTTATAATGAAGTTGAAGTCTTTTATACTACTAATATTTTAATAGATTTTTAGACATTATCCCCAAAGGACCTTTTAGAGCTAATTAATAAAATGAATAGATATTTTAAAAAATGGTCTGATAAAACGACATGCCCTACAAATACTATAATTAATAGACACTGATTGATAAATTGCTACTTTCTGTGAACTGAACATTTATCACCATGTAGCCATTTTCTATGCATTGATGGATGGAATTTACCAGGATAAATAATGAAAGAAAATGTATTTTCTGCAGTTATATGAGAAATCAGCTGGATTCCAAAGAAAAATAAAGATAAATTTTTTTAAAAATATGATTAATACTAGAAACCTCTCACGCTGAGAAACTCGGGAAATGTTAGATTACTAAAGAAGGCCAAATTTTGTTCCTATTTTAAAAAGGAGGTTCCAGAATACTGTCATCCAGTTAGTGTGTGGCATTGACACCTGGGACATTTTTTTGAGTAGATGATAATGAAATTGTTCACATTAAATACATTGAAACAATGTGGTTATAATCAGAAGGTGATGCTAAATCATGCCAGATTAAGATTATTTTGGGATTTTTTAACTGAATAATTTAGTAGACTGTGGGAATACTGTAAATGTAATAATATATCTTTATTTCAGCAAAGCATTTGGCAAAATACCAAATTAGAAAGCTATTTAAGCTCTGGTTGACTTCTTTTTGGATTTAGAAGAGAAATATAGGTAGTTGAAGGTTATCCTTATACTAATCATATAGTCTATCCATGGGGAAAAAATTAATTATTCCCTTTGATTTAGAAACTGGTTTCTCTGCCTTTAGCTACAGTAATAACAGCCTAAGTTTTCATATAATGCAGTCTTTCTCATCACTGTGTAGAGATTTTGGCCAATTTCTCCATGAAAAAATTATTTAGCTCTGTAAAAGCTAAATAATTTGAGGGGGTCCTGAAAGTTGACTGGACCATTCCAGAATGCTGAATTTATTTGTCACACATTATCTCGCAGACTTTCTGATATGTTTGGGTTACCTGCCTTACACCATGGGCAATTTGCTTTTCAGGTGACTGGTGAACAATCTGATACTCTCTAGCAGAATTCTCTTAATACAAAACAGAATTCATAATGGCAAGTTGTTTCGGTCCTGTGGCAGCAAAGTATCTTCAGACCACAATAGTACCTTCTCCTTGTTTAACCATTGGTATGAAATTCTTATTGTGGAATGCAGTGTTTGATTTCCATTAAATATACTACTATAATACTAAGAGCCCTGCTGGTGTAGTGGTTAGAACAGTGATTGCCAACCAGTGGGCCTGGAACCACTGGTGGTCCATGAGAAAATTTTGGTGGTCCGCAGAGAAATGTCACCCCTAAAGCACCCCCAATCAATCCAGGCTGCGTGAGAACACAAGGCTTGCATTGCTTGTATTGCAAACAACACAAGGTACCGATGGAAGGGGGGAAAGGGTGCAGGGGGGAACTTACCCCACTCTCCCCACACGCCTCGCTTGGCCACTGGGCTGCTTCTTTCCACTTCTTTCTTCTTCTGCTTTTGGCTGCATGCAAGGAAAGCAGCAAAAGTCTTTCTTTCTCTCCCCCAAACTCCACCAGAAATGAGCCTTTGGGACCCTGCAAGGCCTCCTGCTCCAAGAGTCTGAGCCGGCAAAGACTCATTTGTGGCAGTTTGGGGGAGAGGAAGAAAGACTTCTGCTGCTTCTGCTGTTTTCCTTGCATGAAGCCAAAAGTCTCTCTCTCTGTCTCTCTCTTTCCCCCTGAGAATGGAGCTAAAAAGCAAACTTTTTTTGAGATTTTCCCAGGGTCTCTGGTCCGCAGGATTTAAAATTACGAGTTTGGTGGTCCCTGAGGTCCAAAAGATTGGCGACCCTGGGTTAAAAGACAGCATTGCAGGCTAACTCTGCCAACTGCCAGCAGTTCGATTCTGACTGGCTCAAGGTAAACTCAGCCTTTCATCCTTCCCAGGTCAGTAAAATGAGGACCCAGACTGTTGGGGGCAATAGACTGAATCTCTAAACTGTTTAGAGATATATAAGTCTAAGTGCTATTGCTACTGGTATTCCATTAATATATTCCACCAAATGTATTAATACCTATGTAGTTCAAAAAGTTCCAATAATAAGTTGTTCTTATGAAACATTTTTCTTAGTGTAAAACACACATGAAAATGAAAACAATGGGGAACACAGGGAAAAGATAAAAGGAGGGGAAGAAGGGAAGAAAATAAAGCAGTAAATTACATATTAAAATTATTGACTCAACTTTTTAATTACGCAAGCCCTTTCTATTGCAAGAACCTATTTAATCATCAGAGCCCAAAGTCAGAATTTCTTTTCTTCTTCTTCTTTTGGGCAGAAGTGGTTTTCAAGTGGAAGCAAAACTAGAAACATTCTTTTTCCTAAATAAGAGGTTTAACGTTGCCATCTCTGATAAATCCCATCAAAAATAGAAATACAATAAAATGTATTTATTTGTTTTATCTAATTTCAATTTTTCAATTTTTTTTTTTGGATAATGGACCTCTGTTTACCCCAAGCATGTTTAAACTCAGTTAGTGAGGATTGACCCATGACCTCCACTGGAAGTTGGTTCTAAGCTTTCATTACTCTTTCTGTGAAGTCATGTTTTCTAACTTTGAAGTAACTTTCCTGTCAGGTTGGGGTTACACCCCTGTGTTCTTTTGCTCTGCTATTTCCTCATGAACTCAATTTTTTTTGAACTTTGTACTTTGCTGATGGGGTAGTCTTGAGTACCAACAATATGTTGAACACATAGAAAGAGTTCAGAGAAGAGCAACAGAGATGACTAGGGGACTGGAGGCTAAAACATATGAAGAATGATTGTAGGAACTGGACATGGCTAGTCTAGTGAAGAGAAGGACCAGGGGAGACATGATAGCAGCGTTCCAACATCTGAGGGGCTGCCACAAAGAAGAGGGAGTCAAGCTAGTCTCCAAAGCACCTGAGGGTAGGTCAAGAAACAATGGATGGAAACTGAACAAGGAGAGATTCAACCTGGAAATAAGGAGGAATTTTCTGATAGTGAGAACAATCAACCCATGGAACAGAAGTTGCCTTCAGAAGTTGTGGGAGCTTCATCCCTGGAGGCTTTCAAGAAGAGATTGGGCTGCCATCTGTCAGAAATGGTGTAGGGTCTCCTGCTTGGGTGGGGGGTTGGATTAGATGACCTACAAGGTACCTTCCAACTCTGTATTCTGTATCTTCAGCTTATCTGACCCTCCTCCCCTCAAAGGTTTCCTGCATGTAAGGGGTGGAATTTTCACCACAATATGAAAGTATGGAGTTATTCACATGTTCCTTTGCCCCCACCATGAATGTTTATATCTTGAATCCTGTCTTTAGCTGAGATGATTGAAGTCTGTAGGTTTGGGGTGCCTTGTAGTTTCCTGGATGATTTTAATCCGCCACCATAGACTAATTCTTGACAGGGCAGCCATTCTTCAGAAGATTCACTTTGGCTCTAAATCTTCTCCATTTCAAGACTTTTTTTTCTGACAATGAATCAATGTAGCCCCCAAGCTTTAAAAAATGATTTGGTCACTTTTTCCAGAGCGATCGGCATCAATAACTTTTTGTACGGAGGCCTTCAAAAATTTGTTTGCGTGAGGCATGCCTCTAAAATCTGTGCTGTTTGAACTTCATGGTGATGAAAAAGCCAGAGCTTATGAGATTTGTATAGGATTGGGCCAAATCAGCTCTGCGAGGCTAATAAAATACTTAACTAGATTGTTTTTTTACACTGACATATTGCATTGTTTGTGACACCACGATCAACATTTGATCATTTTTGTTCATTCCCTTTATATATTACTAAAGCACCTAGGAGGCTTTGGTAACGTTCAGTAGTAAAATATATCTTCTATTTGTTGCTGGTCATTGTCTGAATAAATAAATAAATTTCAATTTCTCTATGCAAAGTTTCGTATAATCCTAAAGAGAACAAAGATATTTTCACAAAATTGTACACAACTACCCAAATCAAAGCTTTGGAATCAACATTGTTATGCAAATCACAGAAAAAGAATGAGTAATAGACAACCAAAAAATTAAAAGCATGAGCTAAGAAAAGGGCAAATACAGTTTTTTTAAATTGTTGCTAGGTAATTGAAATTGTTTTATTCCCTTTTTGCTGACAGATGCAGTTGTCTTGGTAGTTGATAGCTTAATTTTCAGATCCATTCTTTCTTGTATTGTACAGTCCGTTTAACATTTGTTGCGCATTATTTGATTTCTCAGCCAACAAGATGAAAGTATCTGCATAGGGAAGTGCACAATCTGGACCTCCAACCAACACATCTCTAAGGTCACCACAAAGATTTTACACACTCGTCCTGAAATGAGGATATTGTAATTCCTTATTCAATGTTGACACATTTTACTGAGGAAACCATGATAAAGGTTATGTAAACTCTGAGTAATTCTATTCCCATTTTTGGAAGAAATTCCAGTGTTGATTTTGGCCTACTTGGGAAATACCCAATATTTGCATGTTTTGTGCAGAAAATTGGCTGTTGAAACAGCTTCAGTAGTGAGGCTGTTTACATTAGAATAGAACTCTGCTGGATCGAACCAAAGTCAGCAGTTAGATGATCCCAGCTAAGTAGCAACTTATGAAATAATTACTCCTCCTCTGTTGATTTGGTCTCTCCAGATTATACTACTGTGGGTGGTGAGGGGCTGCCTAGATTATTTAAGGGCTATTAGCAATTATAATAATTATTGAGGCATAGATTGGTCATCACACCTTCAGGATTCTGTAACAACCTTTAGCGAGACTGGAAGTACAATCGGATGTAGGCACAATCTGAGCGGAAGGCTACAGTTTCTTCAGTTACCTGTTCAAGTTCCTAATGCTGATGTTCTGGATACAGATGGCTCTCAGTTTATGACCACAATTGAGCCCAAAATTTCTGTTGTTAAGCAAGACTGTTATTGTCATGCCCCCTTTGGAGTCTGAATCCGTGGAGGAACAAGAACAGCTGACAGGGAGCAGGGGTTTGGCTCCATTGGCTGTAGAGGAAATTGGGGAAGGGCAAAGTCCAGCTGGGCAGAGCAGGGGCAAGGTAGAACAAGGGAGAGGGAGTTCAGAGGAAGACCCAGGCCCATTCGACTTGCTTGTTTTTTTTCTTTTGAAGACATTTCGCTTTTCCAAGAAGCTTCTTCAGCTCTGACAGGATAGTGGGGAATGGAAGGATTCATAATCCTTGCAGACAGCTAGTCATTTGCATCCTTTTAGAGGGTCGTTGAGGCCACTTGGAGGTTTATCTATGTCCTCAGGGTCACCTGAGTGGTGCTCCTGGTTCCTGTAGCCTGCATTTTCCCCCCTCTGGAAATCCATTCCTTCGTCCACACCATTCAAAGGGTGTTCATCTCAAATTGTATAGCTAAAAGTCTGTAGAGATTCTTAGTCCTCCAGGTCATGGTTGTCCCAGAGGTGCTTTTTTAGGAGGCCACTGGAATTCCTTGTTTTTTCCTTTTGAAGACGTTTCGCTTCTCAAGGAAAAAACAAGAAAGGCCAGTTGCCTCCTGAAAAAGCACCTTTGGGGAAAAGATAGATAGATAGAAGATAGAATTCTTTATTGGCCAAGTGTGATTGGACACACAAGGAATTTGTCTTGGTGCAAATGCTCTCAGTGTACATAAAATAAAAGAGACATTCATCAAGAGTCAAGAATCATAAAGTACAACACGTAATACTAGTCATAGGTTACAATAAGCAATCAAATCATACTAGGAAACAGTCAATAAAAATCATAAGGATAAGGACTTCCAGTTTGTCGGCTTCGCGAGCGGCAGGGATTCGCGAAGCTGCGCGATCCCTGCTGCGCTAGCCGTTTTTGGGGCTCCGATCCGGACGGGTACGGAGCTAGGCTGCCCTGCAGGGGCAGCTGGAGGTAGGGGGGATCCGGAGAGGGGTTTGGGGGTGTTGCAGACCCCCTCCCCGGCCGGCAGAACCCCCTTTTCCCAAGACGGTGCAGTGGTGGTCCGTAATGGCCGCCACAAAGAAGCTGGCAGCCGGGTAAGAATGCGCAGGAGTTAGTGGAGAAAGTTTTTGAAAGGAGAAAGTTTTTCTTGGTTCCTAGGACTCTAAGACATATTTAACAAAATTCCTGAAAAGTATGATTTTCTGAATGATACCTTCTAGAAGAGGAAAAAAGCGGCAGTTTGGTGGTGCTGAAAGGAAAGCTTACCCTCTTTTCCTACGGAATAAATAAGTGGATATTAAGAAACCTATTTCTTTTAGGTGAAAACTGGCTTTAAGCGATGAGTGGGAAGAGAGAGGACTAAAAAAAAAATATTTGTATGCTAAGACTTTGTTGGAGGAGATGCCTTAAGGATTTGAAGACTAAAATATATTGCAATAAGATTTTAAGAAACAGATTTGGACTTTCTTTTTCTCTGATTGATACTACCCCAGGAGGAGAAAGTGAGAACTCTGCCTTGGTTTGGACTGATTGATAACTTTGGGACTGTTTTATTTTTTCTTTGGAATATTCTGGTTGTTGTAAGAAGAAAGAAGGGGAAAAGAAAAGATTTATAATGGCTCTTTCTATTGAGGAACTGAGAAAAGATTATGAACAAGCAAAAAAAAAATGGTAAAGCTGGTTTGAAAGAAGCCTTCCTTTTTTTAGAAATGGCGCTTATTAACTATCAACAAACATTACAACAGATGAAGACAGCAGAAGAAGAAGAAGGAGAGGAAGCCATTTTTAATAAATTTCAGAACTTGACCAAGAAAGAAGGAAGAGGGAAAGGAAGAGAAATAAAGGATTTAAGATTTAAAAAAACACTTAAGAAAGGGAAAAATAAGGTGCAAAATCAATATAATGATAGTAAACAAAAGGGAAAAGGAACACGACAGAGAAGGGAAGCCAGTAAGGCAGAGGCTAGAAGAAGGGTGGGTAGAAAGGTTTGTTGGGAGAAGAAAGAAAGGGAAAAGGTGGAGAAAAGCTACAAAGTTTTGAAATTAAATGGGAAAAAAGGAATCTTTTTTAGGGATAAAGGATAAAGTATAATTTCTTCAAAAAGATTTTGCAAGGTACATAAGATGATATTGTAGTATTGTATTAGAAATAGAAAACTTAAATGGTTTAAGAGTTGATAAGAGATTAAAATGTTGAAATGTTTAATAATGATTGGTTTTAAAATTTAATAATATGAGGGGAGGTTTAGAATATTGAGTTTTAATTAAAGAGTTTAATAAGATTATGGTATTGATGTTATTATAAAATTTCTATTATAGTATTTGTTTTTAATATTTAGATCTATTGTTTAACTATGTATTTAATTACTCTGGATGTACTATTTAGATAGAATGTACCAAGCAAAATCGGATTGGGTATTGGGCGTTATTTTAAAGGTTAATTTGATTAATTTAGGGGGGAGATAGAAAGGCATCATACTCTGATTAGTGATTTCAGGAGAAACTTCTTCTTTTTTTTTATAAGGAACGAGACAAAGGGACAATAAAGAATGGACAAAAGATACAAATATAATGACTCAAATTAAGATGATTAATTAAGATAGAATTAAGAAGAGTGAAATATGTGGAGAAGTTAATATAGAAGGCTAGAATGGTAAATAAAATAAGTAATGATATGTAAGATGAGCATGAATATAATTGAAGTCCATGAAGAGAGAGATACCTGGGTCCAAGTTACTTTCCAAAAAGATTTTTTTTTTTATGTTTTATGTGTTGTGTGTATATGTTGTTTTTTTTTGGGAGAATTAATAAAACCTTGCAGAAATATAGAATGAGAATAATGGTAACCAAGTCAGAAAGAAATAGATGAAATAATAATAATGAAATTGAATAAGAGTAAAGAGAAGTAAAGAGAAATTGGACAAGAGGTTTTTGTATGTTTATATGGAAATGGTTTAAAACAGAATTATAGTTTATCTGACTTGTTAAATTTATAATGGAAAAAGGTTTAAACATGTAATGGATAATGATGATTTGTGTGTTTTGAAAATTAGTAAAACTTTTTTAAAAAAATAATAATCATAAGGATACAAGCAACAAAGTTACAGGCATACAGTCACAAGTGGAAGGGGATGGGTGATAAGGAATGATGAGACGATTAACAGTAATAGTAATGAAGACTTTGTAAATAGTTGGACAGTGTTGAGAGAAGTATTTGTTTAGTAGAGTGATGGCATTCAGGAAAAAACTAATGGATTAATGGTAGTGCAGACTTTGTAAATAGTTGGACAGTGTTGAGGGAAGTATTTGTTTAACAGAGTGATGGCTTTCGGGAAAGAAACTGTTCTTGTGTCTAGCTGTTCTGGTGTGCAGTGCTCTATAGCATCAGGAAAAAGCACCTTTGGGACTGAGAATCTCTACAGGCTACCTGTACTATATGTAAAATTAATCAAAGGTTCCATGTTTAAAAACCAATCCTTATAGATTAGCCCAAACCTCCATCTCCCGTAGGACACCTCCCTTGCCCCAAAATCTGAGTAGCAGTGAGTGAAAGAGTTAAAGCCAAGGAGCCGGAGTCACTTTCAGCTTTTCTACTTTGCAGATACAACCTTTTAAGCTTACCTACAATTTTTTACCTGAGGAAAGCAATCGTTTTGCATTTTAATGACGAATCAAGTACACTAACTTGCATTTGAAATGAAAGTGCCTTAAATGTCTCCAGCTGTCAGAGTGAGATGTTAGGGGCTTGATGAAAAGAGAACAAAGAAGACAAAGTATGAAGCTGAGATACAGTGGGAAATGAAATAAAACCGTGTATGGCTTGTCAGGAGTGTCAGTTGATATTCCTATCTAAAGCACATTATAGTATTACTTTGCAGCTCATAGCTTACTCATCTGTCTTTTTTAATTCATCACTTTCTAGCCCACATCTTTTAAGTCCCATGTGTCAACAATGGGAGAAATCTGTTAATTGACAAATGAGTGTCACAAATGTGAATTGGTGCCTTTACATCAGAGACAAGGTAGTCTCTTTCTCTCTCCCCCCTTTTCTTTCCTATTTTCCCCCTCCCCTGTTGGGTCTATTATTGGCATAAGCCAGCATAAGACATCTGTCTTTGCCAGAATGAAAGATGACAGCCAAAGAGGGCTGTCATTGTTTTAGAGCATGCTCGTTCTGGAGAGATACTGGAGAAAGATAAATGTCAGTTTAAAAGAATATGAAAAACTATCGGAGGAAGTCCTTAAATTACTCAGGGAACAAGGTCTGGGAATTGATGCCAGAACTGAAATTGGAATGTTTCAGCTTGCATCTATCACATCTGTTTTAAAAACTGTAACTGGATCAGTTTATAAGGAGTTTAAGGAAATGTAATGTTAAGAAAACGTAATGAGCTCTGTAAGGTGGCGCAGAAAATAAAGTTTACAGAGCAAGATTCCTGTTTGGTACTAGCTAATTTATTATAGGGCCTCTATTGAATGATTGCAATGTGGGCCTTTATTTGCATCTCTCTCTCTCTCTCTCTCTCTCTCTCTCTCTCTCTCAAATGCTGAAAATATATATTCAGTTTCTTCTCCTATTATATATCCAGGGAGAAACAGATGAATAGTATAATAATGTTTAAAAACGCAACTCTCTAAAAGCTAGTTGAAGGCGGAGGAGACCATTAGTAAGGTGGTAGACAATTTTGTATGATCTACTGCATGGAGGTTGTAAAAAAACCCAGGCTGTTTGTTAAAAATACTGGATTTTATTTGAAGTATCGATGGTTTTACAGGAAGCAGTGAAGGGGTATAGGGAACAAGGGGACAGAAAATGGGAAGGCATATAATTTATGGAACTACGTTTTTAATAAAAAGAGAAGACTCCAGTCCCCAAAAGTTCTGAATTGTGCGATTAATAGCAATTTAGATATAATCTTAGGAGATCACACTGAAAGCTTCTGGACTTATGACTAGCATTAGAGACATAACATTGAAAAATGAGCATTAAAAAGGGAGAGCTGTAATTGTGTAGGAGGCGCAGAAGTTCACATGACGAATGTTGCAGGTTTTTAATTAGCTGGAATTTTTGGTTCATCATTAACGTGGCTTTGAACCTTCCTGATTTTGCATAGAGTTTTGAAGTTAAACATCATTATCACAGTCTCTAATTTTGTGCTTCATTT